AATGACAATGACAATGACGACAACAGCCATAACGATGATGAAGAGAGACATTATAACCTAACAAGTGAAAAATTGCAATATGAAGTTTAAACTAACAAGAAAATGTGGTAACATGTACTGTTGACCTCAGCTCGAGTCCCATATCTGAGAGAAGAACTTATTTAGCTTATTGTTTTGGTTTTTCATATGGCTGTGACTAGCTGTACTGAATATACATTGCATACCCTGCCGTATCTACAGAATATTCCTTATATGAGTCTCTGTGTGTCTGTGCTCTGCTGTCCTCCACAACAAAGGCGGGCCTTCCATGCCCGTCATGCACCCCAAACGGAGCCCAACCAGCACGGGCGATCGGGAGCTGCGGGAGGGACGGATGCCTTCACGTAAGGCCAGTTGCAGCGTGATGGGGAGCCATAGCCTCCCCCCCTCCAGCCCAATGGTCAGCAGTGCCAACAACCCCAACAAGTCTGAGATCCCAGACCGCCGCAAAGATATGACTGCCACCACGGTAAATGACAGGTTTCCTCCTCAGGTTGGGAGGAGACTGTAAATTTCAAGTGATGTTCTAGAGGCATTATTAGACTAAAGGGGCCCAGGGTTTTGTCCCTGGGGCTCCTAAGCTGAACATCAACAATAATCAAATCACTTTTAAATAATATATTTTTGGATTTACTTTAATGACATTTATGCTGTTGAATTATTCTGTAATACTGTTTTTACCCTCTATTCTTAACATGTTATAAGGCAAATCGCCAAAGCTTCACAGGGGGTCGTGAGGCCTTCTTGATTTTAAGGGTTGTAAAAGAAAACTTTAAAAATAAACACAGTAGACCTGTATCTTACTATTTCATTCATTTCTGTGAAGAAAACTTATTTTTTTAAAGTATATATTATATAAGATCTAAAGTTGAAGAAGATCTGAACACAAGCTATATTCGCAGAGCCTTCAGTCTCTGATGAACAACCTCGTCCTGCATTAGACAGGTTCAAACAACCATACAGCCTATAGAACAATGAGAAGAAAACAATGAATTTGTCAAAAAGTAGCCTATAAATTATGTATGATTGTTAGAAATGATAAAAATACATAATATAGACAAAGAATTGTATAAAAATATCAGGAAAACTCATCTCTGTAACAATATTCACAGGAAATAATTGGCTTAAAATTCATCCAAATTGCTCACTTTACACAAACTTCCTGCAGTTCACTATTTAGGTTCATTGTACAGTTTATCAGTTGTTCTGTATTCATTTAATATAATATGAAATATCCATAAAATCAGGGGTCATCACTTTACCTAATGATAGAAAAAGGGTTATAATCCTGTGACAGGATTAACACAGTTTGCCACAAATGTCGCTTCTCAGTGTCATAACTCAGTCAGCATTGTACACACACTGCTACAAGCAGCTGGACTCATCACCCTTGCCACAGTGATGTCAGGATATATGTGGAGGATAAATGTTCATTAATGTGTTTAGAAATCAGAAAATTGTTGACTTTACACTGGCACTGTGCACAACTTGACAGTGGATGGGAAACTGAAGAGCTGACTGTCTCTAAGTGTATGCAAAATGGCCAAGAGGGTTTTTCACATTTTTGTTCATTTTATCTCTAAGACACTAAATACTAATCTGGACCAGTGGTTCCCAACCTGGGTGACATATCTATAAAACAAATGTCGCATATATGTCAGGGGTCATCAGTTTATTAAATGATGAAAAGGGGGTCCCTTAAGGAAAAAGGTTGGGAAACACTGATCTAGACTATTAAACAAAAATAGTAATAATTAAATTGTGGCCAAAAGGTTTCTAATTCAGGACAACTTTACATTCCTCCCACAGCAGAATCTTGCAGTTCTGAAAGTCTGTATTTTTCCACTGTTAAAACCTCCAGTTCTTCATTTATTTAGACTCAGTTTAAACTGACTTTTTTGGGAGGTGGAGTTAAAATGGAATATGATAAACACAAGGAGTATAAATGGCAGTAGAAAATAATTTCACACGTAAACTGAGTCTAGGCAGTTTCTAACAACTTCTGGTATAGCCCCACCCATATACAGATAGTAGCTTTTTGTTACAAACTTTGTCGTTGTGAATGCTGAGCACTGTAACAACGTACAGTGGGTTTGGTTCCACTGTATATCAAAGTGACTCTTGACGGTAATATCTGCCTCTTACCTCATTCCTCTCTCTGTAGAATAACATCCCTGGAAGCGCTATGACACGCCGGAATACATATGTGTGCACAGACCGCTCAGGCGCTGACAGACATTCGCTTCTGCAGAACGGCAAAGACAACAGGTACGACTTTGTGTTGGAGGTTGTAATGTTCGTATTTGTCAGCACAGATCTTTAAATGGCAGTTAAAGCAGGTACCAGCAGCCATACATTAACTTTAAAAGGTAGGTGCAAGATGGATGCTGCGGCCATTTTGTATTTACTTGAAGGGAAATCTTGCCACTTTTTATGAGGATGTGCAATCAGTGTTGATGGTAAATGTAATCAATTGAAGCAATAAATTCCTCAGTGCGTGTTGCTATATTGATCGTGAAAGCAGAGTTCTCCTGCTTGCCGAAATGTGCTGGCTGTGCCTACATGTACCAGCATGCATTGCATGCAACTTCTGACGCAGACGCCCACTACCACTCTGGGCCACTACAGCTCTGAGTAAGATAGCAGCTGGGTAACTTACACAACGTTGCCAAGCAAATTAATTGTATTCGACCATTTCTTTTTCACACGTAGCTATATTACCTTTTACATACAGCAGCAACACACACACAGACACACACATACCGGCCAGGATCACGTAGCAGAACGGGCTTCTGTATCTGCTAATGCTGGCTGAGTAACAGGAGAGCTTTCTTGGTCAATACATTTACCATCTACTCTGATTGGACATCCTCATAAAAACCTGGCGAAAGAGGTAGCAGTTGTCACCTTCAGCTGTTCTGTTGTTAGGAGGATGTGTGAAAGTCTGAAATAGAACTTCCCAGTACATTTTGTGTCTTGGAAGCTTGCCGGCTCAGTTTCTATAGTTCTACTAAGAACATGCCCAAATCTCCAAAATCTGACAAAACTATATTTCTTCCACCTTGTCTGCTGTAAAGTACCAGCAACTAATATAGTTAAGCAGAACTATACCAGATTTGGTTGCTGATGCCAATAGAGGTCGTGTGTAAGAGCTTTAAACCAAAAGGCCAGCTTTTTGCTCCAATGACATTTTAAAAGCAAAAGGTTAAAAATTGAATTATCTAAACAAAGTATATACATTTAGGGAAACCAAAAAAAAAAGATCTGATGGCTGGACTAACTTAAGACACAATCACTTCTTCGTCCTCGCTGTAGCTCCCTGGGACACCGCATGCCTGCAGCGTCTCCCTCCACGCTCAGCATCGCTGGGGCCGGAGCTGCCTCCTCTTCTTCCTCTTCGGACAGATGCCGCCTGACCCGCGGCTCCACAATCCGCAGCACCTTTCACGGGGGACAGCTGAGGGACCGTGGGCCCCCCGTGTACTCAGCCCCGCCCACTTCTCCCACCTTGTCCCACCATGACGCCAGTCCTCTGCCACACGCCCGCACCCGGGCCACCTCCAACCTCTTCACCAAGCTGACCTCGAAACTCACTCGCAGGTAGATGCACGCCACATGTCGCATAGACAGAGAAGAAAAACACCAGCAGGTTTTGTTGCTGTATAGTAATTGAGAGACCAAAACGCAGTGCTCTCTTAGACTGGAAGTTACTCCTGTTTAATCTTTATACAGGAGTATTTTTATGTCTTAATCTGAAAATCTTGAGTAATTGATAATGTAATAAGTGTTGAATGTATTGTAAATATGATGAAATGATTAAAAGGAATAGTTAAACATTGTGGGAAATACACTTTTTGTCTGAGAGTTCAATGAGAAGTTTGATACCCTCCATTAAACATAAAGCAAGAGCCATGAGACAGTTAGCTTAGTGTAGCATACAGACAGGAAGCAGGGGGAAACAGCTAGCCGGTTTAAATAGTTCTGCCTGCCAGCACGTCTAAAGCTCAGCAAGGAACGTTTTTGTACGGATTAAACAAGATATATTCAGTCAGAGCAAGGCTAGCTGTTTCTCTATGTCCAGTCTTTATGCTAAGCTTAGCTAAGCTAATAACAAATGGTCTCTTGGCTATAGCTTCATAATTTGCATACAGACACGAGAGAGGCATCATATCTTACTCTTACAACTTAAGAAAGTGAATAAGTGTATTTCAAAAAACTATTCATATTATTAATTTAACTGCCGATGTCTGACTAACAATGTCATGGCTGGAATCAGAGTTTTTTTTAGTTAATACTGTATGTATAATTACACAACTTGGGCAATATTAATAATTTTTATACTAAATTAAGACAAGCCAAATTCATGTCTGTGCATTAAATATATAATACAGCCAGGAGAGCTCAGCTAAGTAAAACGACAGGAGGCCTGGAAGTCACAGCTAGCCTGGAAAAAAGGGGGGAATTATCTTACTAGCACCTTTAAAAGTTCACTAATTAATGTTTTTACATGTTGCCTTTTTGTACTTGTTAATTTTTGTGCTACACATTTTAGAGGTGCTTGTAGGTGTATTATTTAACTTTGGAGAGAGCTAGGCTAGCTGTTTCCAATCTTTGGACTAAGCTAAGATAAGCTAGTCTCTTCTGTATTATATTTTGCACACTGACATGAGAGTGGCATTGATCTTCTCACCTTGGCAAGGAAGTGAAATAAGTGTATTTTCCAAAATGGCACACTAGTCCTTTAACTGCAGAATATACAAAGTTTGTTTGTATTATAGCTGCTTTTTCACTATTTGTGATGTTTAAGTTTATTTTGTTTGGGATTTGTGTCATTTAGTCAAAATCTTTGTTTATAAAGCTATTGTTACATTATCAGTTGCTACAATTCTTCCTACCTGTCTCCACTTAGCATAACTTTTACTCTGTTTCTTGTTCCCATATGTTTTAATATGGTCATGGGGAACAGAGAACAAGGGCCTTAATTTAGGATGTCAGGCTTGTTCTGCTGTTTCAGTGAGTTTAAGTTGTTCTAAGAAGCATCTCAAATGTAAAATGTCTTTGAAAGACAAGATTCACGTTAAATCAAACCAAGAAAATCAAATGTGTGATATGAAATCATGTATCGTTGAAAGTCCTTCCTTACAGCTTGAGCACAGCTTGGATATGGATCCATGCTTATCGGAACATTTTATTCACAGAGGCCTTTTGGCAAGCCCTTCTGTGGCCCTGGATTATCCTCTGCCCCCCTCTCCCTCCCAGTCGTCATAATCACACATGTCTAATCTTATCAAACCTCAGCTTTATCCTTGCCAATCAGCTCCCGCGCTGCGCTCTTTTCCACCACTTGCTCTCCTGTGATTCAATTATATTCTCTCTTACCCCCACCCCCACCCCCTGCTCTTACCCCCATATTCCCTCTTTTTCTCCATCTTTATCTTGTTGTGCTTTCCCCTATCATGGCATCAGGGTCAACCTTGACCCGTCCAAGCGCCAGGGCTCAAACAAATCAGTCTCGGGTTGTACTCTTCCACAAGGATCAAAAACAGTTAGTAAGTTCCCATGTCTCTCGCTTCTTTCTTGTCTGCCTGTGCTGCCCCCATCTGCCTGACTCTTTCATACCTCTATCTATGAATTATTGCTTGTCTGCATGACTTGTTCATCATCTTCATACTGTCAAGGTCCCATACACTTGGTTTCAAGCATGGTTGCAATCAAGGAAGATTTCATTTGATAGATGTTATTAAATTTCAGTTTCAGGATCAGTGTTATTGTCAGTAGAGACAGAGTGGATTTAATTAGTCTGATTTTTTTTTTTTTTTTTTTACATAAATCTACCCTTACAATCAATGTTTTATGTTTTCATTTTGTATTTGTGGTTAATGGGTTAATTCAAAGTCATTAAATGTTTATTCCATGCGTTCTTGGGAAGAATGGATGGGAATGCTATGAACAATAGTGACTTAAAAGTCAACGGCGTTTATACATGCATGCTATACAAATTGAGTGCCTTCCTGTAAGGTGAGGACATATTGTTCTGCACATCATGTGCTGCTTGTTGTTGATGCTTGCTTGGTCTCACTGTATGATATCCATCCATCCATCTCATCTGAGAGTTGTGGGTTGGTCGTTATGCTCCAGAGGATTACCTCTTACACTGCTTGTTTGTCCTACAGGGTCACAAATGAATCTGAGGGAATCAGGAGATTTGCGGTCACAAGGTCAGTGCACGTGTTCCAGCTGTATCAACAGCACTTAGTAAAAAAATGATGTTCCTTTATATTTTTAATTATGAGACAAGGTGGCCAGTGGTGACATTTTTTTCTGATTTTTCCCTCGCTCTCTAGTTGCCATCTACCTGGGTATCAAAAAGCGTCCGAGCCCCGGGCCGTCGGACGTGGCTGGGATCTGAGAGGTGGTGGGCGGCGGGACCCTGCGGAGGTGGTACTGGCTCTGCGGGAGGCGGCGCTCGGATGTGGCTGCCAGGTCCACCATGCCGGCCCCTTTCTGCTCTCCTGCACCCACGGCGTGGCAGGGGGCCGCGTGGCTTTCGAGGCTGAGGTGTGCCATCTTTCCACAGGCACCTCTGAGACTTCTAACGGGGTGCGCTACACGCGACTCTGGGGGGCACCGCTAGCTTTTCGGGACATTGCCACCCAAATCTCTAAAGACCTTGAACTTTGAATGGAGGGTGTGTTTGCGTAACCAGTGTGTGTTTTTGGGTGAGTGAGTGAGTGTTGATGTGTGTGTGTTTGTGTACGCAAAAGGGAGAGGGGGGTGGAAATAATTGACAAAAAAAAATGTCAGAGAAGGGGCTGGACCCGAGAGAAAAGACTTCTCCTTCTGTCTCTTTCATGACTTACCCCCCCTGCACACACACACGCACACACAGATAAACACACACCTGACCAGTAAAATCACACAGACTGAAGCACCCCCCTCCACCCAATCACCCCACCCAGCTCAGCCAACGTCTTCACTGAGCAACTGCACCCACTGGACCTGGATCAGACGGAATCTAGTTGAATATTTTTTATTGCTACTCTAGCCATAATGACTCTTTATTTTGTTATTTATTGCTCTGATCATTGTTTTTCCCCACTGTCACTTTCACCACCACAGAAAAATCATCTCTTGTGTATTGGACGTCATTAACCAGCCAGTCCTTTTTTTTAAATTGTTCTTTTATATGTCACCTTTTCGCACACTGTTCATTTCTTTTCCTTACTGATGATTAACTGCGACTTTTTATCACCTGGGGACAATAACATGCACAAACGTGGAGATGGTCTGACGAAATCAGATAAGCACCCACAGAGGGTTGCATTGCTTTGACTTGTGTACATACAGCAGTGACGACTGCACTGGATTAAGGTCAGTGGGAGCAGGGTTGACAGGCCTTTGAAGCAGCCAATCAGAGGCCGACCTGGAATACAAAAAGCCAGTGACATCTTCCATCTGTACTAGCAGAGTCTCTCAATAACATTAGTTTCTCTGCATGGGACTAGCAGAAATTAAAATGTAGATAATGTTATTGAGACCCCTTGGTTAGCAGAATTTTTTTCGCTTATAAGAAAACAAGAACATTTTGGTGCAGTGTTGAGTCTACCCCGCTATCAAAATGAAATCAATACAGCTGATTTGGTTAAATATTATAAGGTTATATAACTTTCATACCATTGTCATTGAATACTTTATCTATGCTGGCTCTAAAAGAATGAGATCTGTAAAGATCTCATGCTGCTCTCTGGTTGGCTGGATTCACTGTCCATCGGCACTGGTCATCGTCAGTAGCACTCGTTCAAAGCATTTGGATTTTCCAACCTCCCGTCCTGTTTCACCTCTTTACCTTCCTTCAAAAGCATTGTACTGAAGACATGACAGCAGATACACACACTCCAGAATATCTCTCCAAGTCATAGCCCTTCAACTGTTAAATCTTTCGAGCTAGCATGAGCAACAAATGCGATTTGCCGTGCAAACCTTGCCCTTGAAATCTGTCAGTTGTCCCGCCACAAAATGAGATACTGTTAAAAGACTGGTTTTATTTTCAGTGCAATGCAATTCTTTGGTTCTATTCTGTGATTTGTAATCTCACCTCAGCCATCATCTCAGCATGTTGATGGGAAACACCAAAAGCACATCAGCCCAGCAGCGAAACCTCTCAGATTACACACTCACTTTTACACACACTTCAAACGTCCACCCTCTCCTTTTGGTGGCACAGTCTATAAACTGGTCTGTCCATTATTGATGACTGGGCTGCAGGGGTCAGGGAGGAGTATTCTGAATCTGGAAAGGCACGATGAAGGCAGTGTGCACAGTGTTTTCTTTTTGTTAGTCCAGTTGCCTTTAAAGTGAACAACCCCCAGCGCCTTCATACAGTACATATTTAATATATTAAAAAAAAGAGAGACAGAAAAACCTGAGAAAGCTTTCTATTCTCCCTCCCTGTTTTTAGTGAATAACGTACTGTGATATTTACGTAGGCTACAGAGATCATGTTGTTTGGCTGCTGATTTACTGTTAATACTATCTCTCAGTTGTGGCTTTGCTCATGGTGACCCAAAACACTCCCCCCTATCACCACCCCCATTTCCTCTCCCACCCATCAAACTCCCAGACTCCCTACTTTTATCAGGGATGCCAACCTTAGCTGTCCACCACCTTCGTACGTACCACCAACTTTTTTCTATCGTTACAATGAGCGTTTGGCTTTCCTCGGCTCTTTGTTTGGGACCCTGTTTTCTTGCAGGGGAACACTCAGCCATCATCCACACTCTCACATTGTAGACCCATGTATGACATCTTCTCAGTCCTGTTTGGTGTGTGCTGTTTCATGGAGCCCAATGGGGGTGACTGGTGTTGACCTGTCCTCCTCCTCGCGGGTGAGAAACAGACACCAATATGGCACCAGGAGTCTGTCCTTGTCCTATCCCTGGACGTTTCTCATTGTGGTGTATATTAGCATTAGGTAATATAGACCTCAATGCACTTTGCTTTGACTTGAATCAGCTCCTTCCAGTGTACCTGTATAGGTAATACCCAGAACTAGCCACTGGAGGGCGCCAATGTCTTAAATGTGAAACACTTCAATTTGTGGATATTTGCACAGGTACTTTATTTATTTTTTAGAATAATATCATTTAAAAAAAACAGGATTTATATCAGTCAGTTGATGGCTGTATATAAAATATATGAATATAGTATATATCTTAGAGCTCAAGGTTTATTTATAGCTAGAGCAAGGGAAGTAATTCTAGTTTAAAGCAGATTCTGTCAGTGACAATGGGGAACAAAACCAACCTGCAATCCTGCATGACTTCAGAGTTTGGGTTTTAGGGGGAAAAAAATAAAACATGATACACACCTAGAATCGGAAGCTTTGTGAAATGCAGATGCGATCGTTTTTCGACATGAATTAATACAAAGAAATGGTGCTAAATGTAGCACCAGATTCTCCCCCTTTCACCAAAATAAACAGGAAGGCTTGGGTAAAATACAGTGACTTCACTCAACCTTGGCTTCTAAGTTCGTAGAAGTATTTAGATATGCTATGAAATGTACCAGAACGTACAATGTGTAAGAAAATGGTTCCGTTTTAGATCCAACATGGACTCTTAGGTTGGGAATAAATTGTGCAGTTTGGTTCTATTTTAACTTGAATTTACACTGATCCCAATAATGCCCTGACATGTTGAAAGCCCTGGGTTGCATTCAAGCCATAGAAACATTATGTCACTGTCTCCTGATTGCAAACATGAATAAATCAGGTTGTTTGCAAAGCATTTCAGTGGAAATTCTAAGTAAAAGGGGCTAAAAAGCAAATAACTTGTAAAACAAAAAATGTAAAACAACTCACTCTTAGTATAAGATGGATGAACATTGTCTTAAGGTGGAAACTACTGTGAAAAATTCTTGAGAAGAGTTTTGTTGACCCGAGTGTTGATTAAGCACGTGTATACCTGCTCAGAGACAGTGTGTCACTGGTCAGGTTTAGATGGTGGATGGTACAGTATTAGGACCCATAGGGGGCTCAGTATTTAACATGCACTGTCATTTCAAAGCAGATTTTGGAAGCAGTTGATACTTCAGAGACTGAAGAACGCACACAGTTTGACCTGTATGAGTAATTTTACACTGCTCTACTGTTTAATTCCTCCCCTCAGAAACAAACTGTAAACTGAGATTGAGTGGTTGTGGTATATAAGGAGAATACGGAGCTAAAAGATTAATAAAATTCACTGATGTTGGCATTTTTTCCTTCATTTCGTTGTCTTGTTTTTAAAGTTACCATGCACAGTGTGAATATTTTTGATATCTTTTGATCCTCTGACAAGGTGAGTATTAATATGTGAAGATTATACTTGTTGAGCAATGAGGGTTCTTGGCCCTAATGTAACTGACATGCTGCAACACAAAAGAGCAAACATAGGTTTAGTTGTATCATGGGGCACTTTTTTATTGAGCAGTATGAACAGCTTCAATTATCATCACTTTTTATAACAAAAAAGGAGGTGATGCCACGTCTGCCAGGCGAGCCCAGCTCAGTGGAGGTTGATCCCAGGATGTTACCAACCAACACTGGAGAACTTGAAAAAGAAAAAAAGCTGGAAGGAAGAAAAAGAGGTGGGCAGAGTCAAGAGTCTCTAGGTGAGCGGCTGTTTCCTCTGCGCGCCCATCAGCTGGCTCGATTGCACATGAATGGTCACGAGAAAAACATAAGATTGTCCCTCTTTACTTCTGGGCGGGAATCATGCTGTCGATGGCCTCTCCCTTCTCCAGCTTCTTCTCCATCTCCACCATGAGCTTGACACCATCAACCACCAGCTGGACCTGGTCCACCTCGGAGGAGCCCAGACGGTCAGCGTTGGAGATGTCAAACACACCACCCACGGAGGCAGTGTCAACACCACCTAAAGAGGACAAAGGGAGGAGGTACAGATTACACATCACACCTTCCATTTCGTAATGCTGTAGAGTCCCTGTAGAGACCTGATCCACAGGTGTACAAGCTAAAGAGTGGACATATTTGTACCTGTGCCACGCTTCTGCAGACGCAGCCTGGTGAGGATCTCCTCAAACTTGGCGTGTGTGCTCAGCTTGGGCAGCTTGACGTGCACGCCACCGCGCAGGCCGGTACCCAGGTTAGATGGGCAGGTCAGGATGTAGCCGAGATGCTCGTTCCACATGAAGCCGTGGTTGTGCTTCTTGAAGATCACCTCAATCTGGCAGATAAGAAATGAGAGTCAGATAAACAACCACACTGCCTTCACTCAGTCAAACTATGGCTTGTTGTGACCCGTTATGTGTACCTTCTGCAGGCCAACGCAGAAACGCTTGAAGACCTCCCTCATGTTGCCACCCTGCTGCATGGAGATGACACGCAGGTGATCCTCCTCATTCACCCAGACCAGGAAGGTCTTGTTGTCGTTGTGCCTGGATGGATACAGTAAAACACTCAGAATCATAATGGACGTGCAGATCCATACTGGCCTGCTGACAATTATTCATCATATTCACCAGATGCCTCTAGCGTCGGGCCAGTCGCGGGCCATACCAGCGCAGGTCAGGAGGGGAGAGACGGGCTTGTCAAACAGGAAGTGATCATTGATCAGCTGATCCTGCTCAGCATCAGTCATGGACTTCAGGGGGTAGTACTTTCCCTTGAACTCACCATCCAGGCTGGTCAGAGCTGGAAAGACAGATGTACGATTATGAGATTGAATGTTCTTCTACGATAGCATAGATCTCAACAAGAAATATTAAGCAAACGGCGCTGTTTTGTTTTTTTGCATGTTGGATTCATCATGGTATATGCCCCGCGTGTCCTTGACACTTTCCAATTCTTGGAAATTATTTTTGACAATTCTTTTGTTTGGGAAAGGCCTAGGCTTAGCACCTAACCCTTTGCATACTTGTGCAATCAAACTATAAATAGCTTACCCTCAACGGACAGCTTCTCAATAGCTCTGCGCTCGCCACGGCTGTTGTGGGGTGGCAGGGTGAATCCCTTGATGCTGCGGCCAGTACGGACACGGCTGGACAGAACATAGTTGGGGTCCAGGTCGTCACCACCCTAATGACAAAGGTTTGATTTCAAAGTGAAACAAAGGCCACCAACGTAAGGCACTGAGCATGTTTTGTAGGGATATCTGTTTCTCATAGTCCTTTCTGCTCTTTGAATACTGGGGTACTGCACCTTCAAGTTCTCGAAGTTCAGGTCGGTCTTGTGCTTGTCAGTGGGCTTGTATCCACCATGACGGTCGGAGATGATGGGGTCGAGCAGATCCTTGAAGACCTCGTAAGACTCCTCATCACCAGCGACGCAGCCAACAGTCATGATGAAGGGGTGACCTGAAGGGAGGGGGCAAATAGGAAAGCAGGAGTTAGAAGATGGGAGGGAAAATAATAGTTGTTGTATAGACAAGCTTATTTAATTAGATTTTATTCACAGATAAGACTAAGAATTGTTATTATGATTTATAAAAAATATTTCTGTGTCTGTCTGGTCTCACCGGGGTTGTCGACACCAGTCTGGATGACATCATCCAGGGTATAGCCACTGGGTGTCTGCTTGTCCCTAAGCTTGCCATATATTTCCTTGGTCAGGACCTTGGCCATATGGTTGTTGTGCTTGGACAGGTTGGGGAACTCCTCATCAACCTTGTAGTTGAGTTTGAAGTTGTTGTGGGTGTTTCCGAAAGGCATGATTGCTTTCTAACACTGCAAAGAGAGGGACACACAGGATGAGAAAACTTAAGTGGAGGCTCCGGATGTTTAAAAACCACTTTATCCTAATCTGACAATTTCTGTGAAGATGATCTGAATAGCCACTAAAAATCTCCCACATTTGACAGATATGGGATATTCTGTAAGACAGCTGCAGAGTTAAGGTGGTGTCTGCAGAGGAATCCTGGTAACAAGTGACACTCAATTCTCGACGGCTCAAATGTCCAGTTTAAATAGAGTAGTGGTAGGGGTGTGTATTGCCTGGGTATTTTTAGCATCAGCACATCTGAATCCATACCGTTTATGTCAAGTGTCCTCAGCATTTACAAGTAGCGTTTTAATTCTCTTGGGTCACACACGACCCCAGCTCTCCAGTTTACACGTTGACACAAATACACGTATTACATACGTATTCCCTTTGGAAACACTCTGCACCTTCTTTGTATCACACTTCACCATTCAACCTACAGGTTCAAACACTGAGTGCATCACTTAAAGTTGTCACTATGCTGACAGGCTGCAGATGCTTCCCTTCAGTCCACATGTTCCAACAAGATTTGTTTACATCTAATTATCTATAGGCATGTACACCTTCACGTTTAGTAATTTGTTTTTATCTCGCCCTGATTGGCTGATCATATAAATTATAAAAGACTGATGCTTGCAATGACGCACTTGTTACATCATATGAAATCCGATCTGAGTGAACTGTAGTGTAGCATTTTGGTAATACGCCATATTGGTTTATGAAATAAAAACATTTTGATGCAGTAATCACTTGCTAATTATCTCGTTAGCCCAAAAAGCCATCTTAAAAACATGACTCTAAACTGGCTAAAATCATTTACTGGACATCAGAGGCCTCTCAAGCAGTCTCTTACATGCCTCAAACTGTGAGGCACCTGTCCACATAAATCACCATCCAAATGAGACAACCATTTGCAGAGAGCATACATATATAGCAATACAAGTTAATAATGCAACACAGCTACTGCTATGCTAAAACATCATATTCATGCATATTACCATTATCTATTCAATGACATCTAATAGCCAGTAGGTCTCTTTTTTCCCCAGAATGCATTATATGTTGCATGTTAATATAGATTCAAACATCCCAGAATTGTTGTGCATTCATCTTTCACTTCATCATGGACTCCAAAACTTCTTCTCATTCTCCTTCATTGCAGAAAAAAAACCAGCCAGGTTTTTTGCCATTCTAAATGTTTGAATGATTCTCCGAATCCACACATGCCTCCAAATATTTGCTTCTTTAACTAAACAAAGCTAATCATCTCTGTGACATTTCTTTACCTGTACACCAGACAAGAACAGAGGTAACAATCCTTGGGATCAAATCCTGTTCACCACAGCCAAAATAGGGGTCACCCAACTCTGGAGGTCTTTGCTCCCTGTTTATATACTGGGCAGACACTCAGCCATTGGCTTGGCCATTTTAGTGCCTGCTGCGCCCTCATTGGCCAGTCCTCTGTACTGATACTCTGAACAGTTTATGAAAGGGACGCATTTACATCTCAGTCATCCAAGACGGGTACCACAGCTGTACCCATACCCTCCCCCTACCGCCCCC